AACTGAACCCCCTTGGAAAAATCCTGGATCCGCCCCTGCCTGTGTACCGGTGGTCTTGTCCAGTGCCAATTGGCATGGAAATAACATCCTGATTGTTGTGGGACTCTGGGACAGGCGATCTCCTTATCAGAGTGGTTGCCTAGACAGTTTTAACTGTGATTGAATGCTGCAACACAGAGTGTGTCACTCCATATCAACCGGCTCTCTAGCTTGTTGGCGAGTGGAAGTGGAACTTCACCATGCCTTGTCAGTCCAGCCATAGAGGTGTGGCAAGGTAGCCTGTAACACGCTGAGCATTAGTGTCGTCTAGTACACTTCTAAGTGTAACTTATTGAGTTAGAAGTATATGCCATTCTTATCGAGTTCGTAGCAAAACTGTAGGGAATGCAAGCAGAAGTTGATGCAGAAATGTTGCTCTGATTACATCCGGGCTGGGCATTGATCAGCTATTCTGCCCAATTGTGCCTTCTTCCACAGGTTGAACCTGATGGTCAGTGTGCTCCGGACTACGTCAATGTCATCGACGGCCAGGTGACCAAGGACATATTCAGCCTGGCGCCAGCGAAGGTCTCTGCCCTGCAGCTCTCTCAGAACACGCTGCCAAATACCATTCACCAGCGCCGCCAATCAGATTGGTATAGGGTTGTCGAGTGATTACACTAACACCAACAAGGGATTCACCGTCTTCTATAAAGCTGTTGGTAAGAACAATGACTCTATACTCATGCGTGTACATGTATAGTGAAACCTGTGATATACAGCCACTGTGATAGGAGACCACCTGTCTGAAGAGACCACCTGTTTACAGAGACCATGCTTCTCAGACCCTATACCTAGCTTCAGCATGCATTGCTGACCTGTGTGAAAAGACCACCTGTCATTAGAGACCAGTCACCTCTGGTCCCTGCGACAGACCATGCAAAGATTTACAGTGTGACCTGTGCTGAAAGACCACCTGTTTTTATATTTTGTGCGAACGGATTTACGTGACCATACAGGACTCTAGAAGTGGACTATTGGCAGCATACCAGTATTTGACTCGGGTCAACTGTCTTCATGTAAACGCTCACCTATTTTGTCTATCGTACAGACTTTCAGCCCGAGCTGAACTCAACCCGGGTTGAAATTTCTCATGTAAACACAGCCTGAGTGACTCCAAACTTATCCTTACAACAGATCTGCAGCACACTTGGAAGCTGAAGGGTTTTTCAACCGTACTGGGACCCACGTTAATGGAGAACTTGGTTTGAGAGTAGCAAAGAGATTTCTCACCCGGCCACTCCATGTGAGGGGCTGAGGTAAAAAAAAAAAGGTGGGAAATGGCCGAGAGAACTATCTTCTCACCACGCTACTCTACTGGTAGCACTCCATAGTGCAGTGTATCAAGCATGACATTGTAGACCAACACTGTTAGTACAGTGTGATCTGTAAAACTTTGTACAAAGTAACATTCCCCTTCCAAAGTGCTGCTACAGCTCATGTAGTATTTCCTGTTCAGTATCCAACACTGTACTCACACCCACAGCTCTGGTCTGCTGTTGTTATTCCCTGCAGGGCATAGACTTTGATACCTCGCGTCACATGGCTGGCTCGACACGCCTCCACTGTCTCATCCACTACGCCGGCTCGGTGGGTTTGGACGTACAGGAGCATCTTGTCGAGTAGTATCCGCAGGCTGCTCAAGATACACTTCAAGGATGCACGCAACGTCAATGACTTGGATGTCCTGATGGAGGCAACTGCAGAGCTCCGGAGGTATAGTGATTCACTGTTTGTTTGATCATGGGGTTATCTAACATGTGTAGGCAGAGTAGGCCAGACTCCGGAAAAGGCCCTTGATAGGGAAAAAAAGAATGTACGCAGTAAAAAATAGAACCACCGATGGTAAAGAGTCGCAAAGGTGAACCCACTTGCTAACAGATTGAGAATGAATGACGAGGGGATCCAAGCTATGTAGTGGCGAGGCTTGTAGATATTACTTACCGCAAAAAAAAAGAATTATGAAAGATCAGTTGGGGAAGTGAACTGCCTGAAAAGAGAAAAAATCGCCAGACCCTCCAGGACTCGAACCTGATCCTTTGTATTTGAAGTTCTCCCAATCCGTTCAAAAATTAATCACTTTTCGTTCACTTCTGGGTAGGGTTCAGAAACTGACCGTGGTTGGTCCCCTGGTGGAGGGAGAAAGACCCAAGAGAGAGAGAGAGAGATGGAGAGAGAGAGTAAGTTACATTTATATAGACAGGTAAGTCTAACAAATGAGAGAGAGAGAGAGAGATAGATAGATAGATAGAGAGAGAGAGAGAGAGAGAGAGAGAGAGAGAGAGAGAGAGAAAGAGAGAGAGAGAGAGAGAGAGGGAGTGAGGGAGGGAGGGAGGGAGGGAGGGGGAGAGGGAGGGAGGGAGGGAGGGAAGGAGCGAGAGAGTGAGGGAGGGAGGGAAGGAGCGAGAGAGGGAGTGAGGGAGGGAGGGAGCGAGGGAGAGAGAGAGAGAGAGAGAGAGAGAGAGAGAGAGAGAAAGAGAGAGAGAGAGAGAGAGAGAGAGAGAGTCACCTTTCAGTAAAGGCAGCTTCATATCAGCATTGCAGAGCCACTTTGGCAGTAGGCATAGTTGGTCGTAAGTGGTCCATGAGACAAGGGAAAGTCCTGGGCTTGCTGTATAGAATTATCCTCCACTACTCTACCCTCTAAATGCATTAAGAGCTGTTGGAAGGCTGCTGGTGGGTGCATTCCAGACGTGATAGAGCTTAATTAACATCAGTTTGTCACAGTGATGATGTCAGTACGGCCTCAGTGTGTATTGTGCTAACTGTTGTTCCTTCTGAATACACAGTATCCTGCTTATACAGTGTTGTTGGACAAACTGCGGATAACATGTAACATTTTGGTTATTTCTTATACTTTCTAGGGATTTGTACTTTTAATGTTGTTTTGTACTGGCAGGTTGGATTGGAGCTCGAAGCCAGCAAGGCTGCACATGGAGGATTCCAAGCTCAAGGAGCAAGTCTGGACAGAGCATTAGAGGGCGCGCAAAGAGTTCGGCGTCAAGGGACTGCCGTTTTTCGTCATGTCGCTAAAGGCCGTAAAGGGTCACTCTGACGAGGGGACGCCAAGGTCCTTCAAGCACGATGAACCAACCGCATGTCGTGTGGCCTGCCTCGATGAGCTGCTCGCCAAACACCAGGGCGATGGTGTCGAGTAAAACAGTCACTGCATGCTGTATACCAGCAATGGCCATGAAAACAAACCGGCCCATGGCAGTAGAACTCTATGATGCTATGTGTTATGTGGAGCAAGAACTTGCCTGATCTGAACAGTGGGTGTGGCTATTGCATATGTTTTCCTGCCAGCACAGGTATGGATTCGCACATTACAGTGAACGCATGCAAAGCCCATGTCACGTCTTGCACACCACTGTTGAGTGTTGTGCCATGGCTTTGCCTCCATTTTGTGTGGCAATGTGTATACACAAATAACCTTGTAGGTTCGGGGATGTCTTCATAACCCGGAATTCACAATTGAACAGTGCACACACACACAAGTACACAAGTTCACACAATTTTAGCCGAAAATTTCGCGAATAACAACACAATCTCCAGATCTAGTACCTCGTAACCATTTCTTAAAATTAACCTTTTTCTCATGGAGGATCCAGGGTCGGTATTGGCAAGGTTAACTGTACAGTAAAACCTGGTGCAAACGACCTCTCGTTTTAGCGACCACCTGCTCTTAACGACCGTTTTTCCAAGCACGGACAGTTCTACACAGACACTGTGGGATGCCTGGATGTCTGTACCTGTCGTCATTTCCAGGACCACTGGCACTGATCATGAGCAGACTACAAAATAGTAGGGCTCAAACGGTCACGGTTTTACCCCCAACGGTTAACTGCTAAGCTAACGGTCGGTTTAACGGTTATAACCTATAAGCCACGGCAATCCTGCGGACTCTTTTTTAACCGTACATTTGACTATACTCATTCAAAAAATGTACCCTATTCAGTACAACGCACACATGTACATTCTCTTGCATGCTCACTTGTGAAATTAATGTAATGCTATTAGATCTACCGGTCCGTAGTCGCACATGCACAGCTCACAGGCAGTGTGTGATCATGATTCATCATTAGGCCTAAACAAAAAATAGGCTTGTTTCCGGTCGGCAACCCCCCAAAAAACAGACTCGGTCGGCCGGAAAAAATTATTTTTGGGCAATTTTTTTGGTTCTTACAATCAATGATCCTGGGGCATATTACGCAGTAAAAGCAATGCAGATATACATACTTGATGTATAATTATGTACATGGTATAGAGGAATGTCAGTTTAACATCACAACAGAGACCTGCATGTCTCATAATTCTAGCGGCTATCCAGTATTCACAACTAATACTTGACACAAGTCAATGACAGACTGTGTGCTCCTGACAGCGTGAGTCCACCACCAGACGTACAAGACCGCGGATGCATGCAAGCTACAACTGTACAACAAGCGTGCTTGCACGGCGAAATACCTACAGTCATTATACAGCGCTAGCTTTACAGGCGCACACATGACATGTACTACATTACGCGGACCAAAAAAAAGTTTCAGAATTTGGGAAAAAATGACCCGGTCGGACGACCGGAAACAAGGCTATTTTTTGTTTAGGCCTTATTATTATAATGGATCACCAAGCCCAGTGACCACTGACCAGAGCTAGAGGGCCGCAGAGGCAGGCAGGATGTCCTCCTGCTATGCCTGAGTCCTGGGATTACGGATGGTTTTTTTAGGAAATCACAGTCGTTCAGAATGATAATGATTGCTATGCGCTAGTAGTAGTACAGTGCTAAGAAATGACTGAATAATTATGTAGTTCGTATCTCCGGACTGAATTATTTTAAAATTTTGTTCCTTTTCAAGGCTCTTGAAGTTAGTTGAGTTTCTTGTTCACCTACGTGAATGGTTTGGCATGGATCGCGTTACAAGATCTCTGTGACTCTGTACTGTAGTGGACCGTAGGTTCCTACCAGTCTGCATTTTGCTCATCGCATGTGGGGATCGACAGACTGTTTCTGCGCGTCTGGACGCTTGTCGCTGTACTGGGCGTGCACGCGTCCACCTGGGTCCCTGAGCAAGTGCCGGAGCCGACGCACACGCCGGCCCGGCTGGTCCTGGCTTGAGCGAGTGGCAATCATTCAGCCTTTCCTCAGTCCTCAGGGCAGGCCACTTATGACTTACTTCATGACCCAGAACTAACCATTGCTGCTGTGGGTGGAAAAATAATCCGTGATTGATTGTCGGACCTTGGACATAGCGTCCGTCTCGTGACAATGGAGCGCAACCTGCGTTCTTCTAGCGCGCTCGCGGGCATCCTGCTGCTGCTTTGCCGCTATTGTGGACTGGCGGCCGGGTCGTTCTCGCTAGGGATAGGCTCATTCAACGTGAAGAACTTCGACTCGGCCAAGTACGACATGTACAGCGATATCTATAGCGGGGTGAGTAGGAGCAGGGTGTCTGCCGTTACATGCACAGTCATACATGCACACGTTGATCCTAGACATGAAGCTCAAGACACTTAGTCATGAAATCAGTTACTTCCTAGTACAAGAACGATACACGCATCTTCACTGACTTGAGTGTGTGGAGGCTCCACTGCAGCTGGTTCATAATACGATACTGCTGAATAAAATGCGATGGAATGACTGAAGTATGCGCAGGGCCTCGAGCAGCCCTAGACCTGCGAACACTGGGCTGAAAAATGGTGCAAGGCGCACACTTGACTCCCGTGATGGTATTTCATTTAGCAGCACTGTACAAGACATGTATAGGTATGTTGGCAACCAGGGACTCGCTAATGTATAGTGTGTGTGTGCTGCTGATTGAAATCTGATGGCATGAGTAAAGTACACACCTGGAGCTGTGTAACTCTAGACCTGAGAACACTGGCATGTTCTCTAGTACATTACTCAACAGGGGCGTAGGAGGGGTTTTGGAAGTGGTACGACCGAAGTTCGGCTCGGGCGAAAGGCGTCACGGTTGGAGGGGGGTTGGGGAGACCTCCTCCGGGAAAATTTTGTAAAAAAGACACAAAATCCTGCGTTCTGGGCCTGGGCATGGGACTGTTCAGTGTGCAGTCGAGTCGAGTACGGAGTAGTCAGTATACGACTGCAGCGCAGATGCATGGCAGATCTACTAGTAGTAGTTCGAGTCTAGAAAAAGGTCAAAGTCTGATGCGCATATGCATCGATAAATCCTGATTTTTTTTATTACGGTTTTGCACGTTCCGGACGGACCACACTTTTCGAAAAGTGGTACGGCCGTGGTCGTACCAGTCGTAGCGGGTGCTACGCCCCTGCTCAAAGCTGACTCATTCCATCGGACTTCATTAAACAGCATTGTACTTGGGTCAGGTCATAAATTCATAATGCAATGCATACAGATAATGAGCCACCGTCCGCCCACATCGTTTGTAAAATTTTCATCATTATACATTTTAGAGTCAAACACAACCCTTCTGATGAATTCTGTCGTGCACTTGTTTGTGATACGTACCACCTCACTGATGCTGCTAGGCACTTCATCTGCCATCCAGGTATGGTGCTCGGCACGGTGTTGGCCTGGCAAATGCCAAACTTCCTGCGCTTGTTGTTTTTCTCAAGAGAATTGTGCATCCAGTTGTAAAGGGGACATTTCAAGGAAACCCCAAGGATAAACACATGATGGCAAAGGGTATTTTGACTATTTTCTACCGCCATGTCTCAGAATGTTCGGGTTGTGCTTGCAGCAGCAGCGGCTCCTTGTATGGAAATGAATGAAGGCCGAGAAGTAAAACAACTCAAGCGTTGTAGTCCTCTGGCAACTGAGCGCAGTGATTACTTCTCAAATCAGTACATGGTGATAATGTGACGAAGCACAGCGATATCAAATTAGATTGACTTATGTGAGAAGTAAAGGTTCAAAAGGCTTCATCAGATTTACAACTGGCTTCGTCTCTTTGTGTGCTACTGTGTTTCCCTCCGGCTAAGTCTTCTATTTCGCACAAAGCGTTATTTTGTTCTTCACAAAGCAAGGACAATGATGAAAACTCATAACAAAGTGCAACCTTGGCCAACAGGACTTGTCGGAGGAATCTGAGTTCCCCTTTACCCGAACTCACTCCCAAAGCCAACGCCTAAGTAGCTAGTCCCGCGGGCCTGCCGAGGCCTGGACATAATTGTTGATGGGTTGCTGGTCCTTGAGACGTGTGAGGCCCTGATGCAGTTCCAGAAGACTAGGCGTACATAAGAAATTTGGATGTATCACGTCTTGGGTGTTGGGTGTGCTGAGCACAGCTTCCAATTTGTAATGGTTTACTTGTATGTTATAGAATCATTTCAGATAGGAGAAGATGAGTGTACTCTAGGGTCAAGACGACAATAAACCAAACCTCACAGAAAATACTATTTGTTGATCGAGCGGTCTGACTTCCAATGCTAGCAACGTTATGCTTTCAAGCCCACCACCGAGCACTGTCATTCATAACCTAGACTTCCCTCTGCTACATGTATATGCACACTTTCCTTTCAACCACTCTCTCTCTCTCTCTATCTATCTCTCTCTATCTCTCTCTCTCTCTCTCTCTCTCTCTCTCTCTCTCTCTCTCTCTCTCTCTCTCTCTCTCTCTCTCTCTCTTTGTTGCATCAGATTGTTGGCTGGCAGAAAATCTTCCTCTTACAGGAGGTCCTAAACACGAGTATACCAGATGCCCTGGTCAACAGCCTCAATGCGTAAGCTCCTTTGTAGCTATATTAGTAATGCCTGGTGCCGAAGGGGGGTTCAGAGGCGTAGCCTTAACCAGTCGTATTCTTTCCTATAGAATTGTCTACTGGTATGTAGCTGAGCCACCATGTACATATGAGTATCCTGTACCCATGATACTTCTATTATCATCTTTCTTTGTTAAAAAACGTGTCTGTGTGTGCATGTGTGTTGATGTGTATGCGTGCATGTTTTGTTTGTGGTTATGTGTGTGTGTGTGTGTGGGTGTGTGTGTGTGTATGTATGCGTGCATGCGGATGTGCGTGTGTGTGCGGGTGCGTGCGTTTGCGTATGTGATATGCATGCTAATGAACTCCTTATTAAAGGGGAAGTTAAGGCAAAAATTATAATTTCACCAGTTGAAGTCTTCGGGGTGCTGAGTCGAATGGTCTTGGTCCGAGAAAGCTGAGACGCTCCATTCCTACTTGAATCCCAATCGAACTCGCGCACTTCCACCGAAACTGGGTGACTACGCCCTACTAGATGGGGATTTGTATGCAAAATGTCACTAAAAGCGCCATTTCGTTCTTATAAAAGCACGGATGACCGCGATTGGCCCATATGTTGTAGTCTTTTGGACGCTGAGTCGACTGGTTTTGGTCCGAAAAGGCTGCGATGCAGCGTTCCTCGTTTATTCCCAATCGAACATGGTTGAACAAGTGGTCACGTGCTCCTGGGTGCCCAAATCACCTGGTCACCACGCCAGCAGGCGACAACTTTCACACCAAGGTTCAACTCGAGTGACAGGAGTGCACCCAAAAAAGGTCAAGCAGGCTAGTAAGTTGTACCCTGCAGGCACGGTGACCAGGTGACTGGCGTACGCAGGAGCACGTGACCGCTTGTTCAACCATGTTCGATTGGGAATAAAGGAGGAACGCTGCATCGCAGCCTTTTCGGACCAAAACCAATCTACTCAGCGTCCAAAAGACTACAACATATGGGCCAATCGCGGTCATCCATGCTTTTATAAGAACGAAATGGCGCTTTTAGTGACATTTTGCATACAAATCCCCATCTAGTAGGGCGCAGTCACCCAGTTTCGGTGGAAGTGCTTGAGTTCGATTGGGATTCAAGTAGGAAGGGAGCGTCTCAGCTTCCTCGGACCACGACCATTCAACTCAGCACCCCGAAGACTACAACTGGTGAAATTTTAATTTTTGCCTTAACTTCCCCTTTAACATGTCAGATTCTTTGTAGCTATGAATCGCAAGTGTCCATGCCCTTTAGCGACAGCCTGATAGAACCTGTGCGGGTTGTGCTGATTGCATTCACACACGCAATGTCTTCCACCAGATTGTCTTTCTCCCAACTGTCTCGTGTCTCCTAGCTTGTATTTATGTATGCATGCATGGGCCTGTTCAATGTCACTAAACCGGCACTTGTCTTGTCCACGCAATGATGAGGTTACTCACCTTCATCAAATGGAATGTTTTCTGTACAATAGACACTAGTGAAGGGAGTTATGGTGCAAGAACTCTTGACCAATGTGGGCTATAATGCACTAGTAACGAGTCGTGCCACAAACTGTACGCGAGTGCGTTGAATGAAAGTCATTTTACGCTCAACAGCTTTTACACGCTGGACGAGTGTTATGTGATCTTCAGTACTCGTACTAGGTAATACTTATACTGAGATTACTATTTGTGTGCTCACCTGACCCAGTGCATCCGGATCATATTGTAAATCTAGCATATTTTGTGTATGATAATGTGGGTGATGACCCTGAATCAAGTACTCTCCCTCTCTATACACTCACAATGAAACTTCCCTTATACAACCGATCAGTAAACAATCCACTGACCAGTTTCACACATTTCCTGTACATTCATGTTGACCTGTATCATGTTCACAACACATCCGGGTTTATGCCATTTGTGCGTCATTATTGTATCTGTCTTGGCGTGCGCACACATGTGTGTGGTGGTGGTGGTGGTGGTGTGTGTGTGTGTGTGTGTGTGTGTGTGTGTGTGTGTGTGTGTGTGTGTGTGTGTGTGTGTGTGTGTGTATTTGTCTCCTCTCTCCCGGGAGATGTGACCAGTTTTGGCAGTGAGCAAGTGTGGGTGTGTGTGTGTGTGTATATGTGTGTGTATGTGTTTGTATGTGTGTGTGTGCATGTATTCCGTGAACAGGAGATCCCAGTATGCCAGTAACAAGCCATTTCGCTCCATCACCAGTGAGTTGCTTGGGCCTGACTCTGGAACACGGCAAGCGTATGCATTCATCTACCGGTGAGTATTGACTTAACAACACCATGTCGTCACCAATCAGTTCCTGCACAGACAACCTGGACTGGGTACGGATGGATACTATTGGTGTCCTTTTGACCTCTGCGACCTGTACATTGTCGGTGCACCTCCGAGTTTGTTGTTGTTGTGTGCACATGGGGTTCGCCTTCACGTGCACTGCTGCGCGTTGACTTGTACATGGCTGTATAAACATTAACTGTATCATTCTTGGAAGTGCTTATCACTGAACTCTCTTTCCGTACCACGTCAGTAGCTGTTGCTCTGTGCGTGGGGGTTGGGAGCAGCGGAAGTGCTGATAATCTTGTTAACCTGACGACACTCTACTTTCCAGGCTGTTTTACAGAATGCAGTGAACAGCTCCTTTGTATGTTCAATACTACTGATGATGTGTTGTGTGTTCTGCATGGTCTGGTCCGATTAATGATTATACTGTCACTGCTGCTGCCACTGCTGCTGCTGCTGCTTGTGTTGCTGCTGCTGCTTGTGTTGCTGCTTGTGTTGCTGCTTGTGTTGCTGCTGCTGCTGCTGCCACTGTTGCTTCTGCTGCTGCTGTTTTTGCTGCTGCTTGTGTTGTTGCTGCTGCTGCTGCTGCTGCTGCTGTTGCTGCTGCTGCTGCTAGTGATGATGATAATGAAGGTGTTGCTTCTGTTGCTGCTGCTGGTGATGATGATAATGAAAGTGTTGCTTCTGTTGTTGCTGCTGCTGGTGTGATAACTACTACTGTTGTTGTTATTTGTACCCGGATGATTACCATGCAGGGTTGACTTTGTAAAAGTCCAGCAGGTCTACCAGTACCCCATCCAGAACTACACCGTGTTTAGACGACCGCCATTCTCCGTGAAGTTCCAGTCGTCAGTCGGTGAGTAATCTAGCTGTAGTTTGTACATTGGTATCACTTGTAGCACTGAGTGATTGTCAGGGAGAATGTTACTGAAAGTACTCCTGGCTAGATGCGCAAGCCTCAACCTGTTGATAATTCATTCCTATTTTGGAATTTGTGGATTCATCCAAGAAAAATGTGCTTCTCAAATTTTTTTTTACGATTCGCTTGAGATCCAGCTGGAGGGCGAGTTCTCCGCATCCATGGTATAGCGAATGTCACGCAACTAAATGACTCCTTGAGGAATGTGTCGGTATGAGGTAGAGGTTGCACTCCTACAATCATATTAGGCATTTTTTGTGCAGGTCAGGTCTGTATTTGGTGTACTTGAGCGTGAAAGTAACTAGCACCCTCGCACATCATTGGCCCATGTGTACGAGTGTATCCACGTGTAAGTATGTATACCGTCAACCTTTTTTCTTTCTTTCTTGTTTTCCCGCGTGATCCAAGTTTGTGTTTTCGAATTCCATTCTGGGCAACTTTCTTTTCTTTCAATTCCCATGATTCTTGCTTTTAGATTGCTCAGAGTCAGTAGTGAATTGAAAGTTAAGAAAAATGCTTACTGACTTGGCCACTTTGTAGGCCTAGATATGCAATGATAAAATATGCAATTTTGAACGTGTTTTTTTCCGCTAAAGCGATAAAATGCCTGGTGCCCCCCCCCCCCTGCAAAATGCTCATGGTAAAGGTGTCGTCGGGGGGCTTATTCCTAGCCGACGATATGCCCTTCCGATACATCTCCCACGTACGTCCGATGTACAACACACACACACAGAGGACATAGTATTTTTGTCCTGCTCCAAGGAGAGTCTCCGGAAGAAGGCACATCCCTGGCGAAGAGCAAGCCCGCCGACAACAATTGGGGCCCAACATGTCGGTCTTCTATTGGCTAACGCCCTTCTGGATATTTAAATGAAACCTTGGGCAACCTCTCCATCTTTGTGCCAAAAATATTTCAAGTTTCCAAAAATGGCTACAAATATTGTATCCATATACCGTCTATTCTTAGGGTGCATGAGGCAGGCAGGCAGGCATAGTGGGATGGTCTAAGACCATGATTGAGAAACAGAGGGTACCAGGTTGAAGTCCTGCTTGGAAGCGGAAGGATTTTTTTCCAGCCGTGCTGCGACCCACAGTTAATTAGGAACTCGTGGCCTGGCACGAGGAGAACAAGGATGGAGTGAATGGGATTTTCGGTCTTTGAACACTTGCTGGTGAGCTGATCTACTCACCTCCCACCGCTTTAGGAGCTGCATATGCGCCTTGATCCTGGAAGGGTGGTGGCGTTCCTACGGATGCGGAACACTCGGTTTCCAGCCGAGTCTCACGCGAACCGTGACATTTATTTTTTATTTTTTATGTAGCACCCTTTATTCAATCCAAGGTGTTTCATACCATCTCTAACCAACCTTGCCCGATTTAGCTGCAAAAACCAACATTGCATGGCTATTCACCCTTCCTGAAGAGCGGGAGGCCCAGTATATGCACTAGGCCTCATACAACTATAATTTCAGATCTCTTTAGATGTTGGTGCTCTGCTTACCGACAAAAATACATCCATATGCCCAACTTCAAAATTTCAACCTAACTGTCCCGAACTGGGAACTCGTGGCCTGGCATGAGGGAAACATGGATGCAGTGACTCGGGACCAGGTTTGGTACGTTACTGGTATTATGTGAATATGGGACCTGTTTTAGTACTGTTTTTTAGAAGTACAGAGAACTGTACTGTACTGAGAACATGAGGACACACGGCTGTACAGTGTACTGCATTGAGCTTTCCCCAGTGCATCATTGACGTCACTTGACAGTACTCCTGTCCATTAGCTGACATCTTTCCAAGTGAAGGTGACAGCCGGACAGAAGTGTCCACACAGCAGCAGCATAGAAAACAGAAGTTGCACGGGGCGTAGCACTAGTTGTGCTACGTGCACACATGCTCTCTCTTCTGCGACATGTCTTTTGGAGTTTTGCTCGTTAGCTCATCGGAGAGGAAGCAGAAATCGTCTTGTACCTGGTAGAGTTTGTTGTGAGTGATGTCTTCTGAACGAGTGTGTTGTGTGTCCTGTGGCGGTACAGGCAGACGTTTAAAGTTAGTTTCTTGCTTGCATTCAGTCTGTGTAGCATGTTTAGAGAAACATACTCACCGTGATGGCTACATCAAGTGTCCAAAATGCTTGAGCAAGACACCTGTATCTCTAGCCTTTCCTTTGACCCACTTGCCTGATAGCTATCCGAAGCAGTATGGAGATGAGACGGGAGCATCAGCTACCAATGTACAGGTGATGTGTGATGATTGTGCTGATGATGAACATGCTACAGCTAGGTGTGACGACTGTGGAGTAAATCTTTGCAGTGCGCATGCTGTTGGGCATCCACTCTTTCGAGCCACACGCAATCACAAACTGACATCACTCTCTGCTGAGCAACAGGAGACTCCCACCGAGCGGGGTTCTATTCAGCACTATTGTGCTGTTCATCCCAGGCAGGTGTTGAGCAGATACTGCGTTCAGTGTAATCAACTGGCATGTCAGAAATGCATGGACGCTGGAGCTCACAGTGACACTGACACTCAACACCAAGTGTTGTCCATTGAAGCAGCAGCACAGAAAATGCGTGAAACTGTGGAGGGCAACATCAGCAGTTGTATATCTGATAGTGAGGGTGTGATCTCTTCAGCTCTTGGAAAAGTGCAAGCTGAGATTAGTACTGTAAATGATGATGCAGAGTTTGCCTCAAAGGAGATCACAGAGCAATTCAATTTGCTGAAGAAGGTATTGGAAGCCAGGGAGAAGACACTGCTGGATAAGGTGGATCGACAGAAGAACGGCAAACTTGTGCAGCTTGAAGCTCAGGTGTGTCGGTTACAGGATAGTCTGTTCCACGGTCAAGCTGTTTCGACAATATTCAAGACCTGCTCTGACCAGACAGAGTTCCTCAAGATTGCACATTGGCTGAACAGTGCCATTGATCAAAGAAAGAATGTGACCGAGAAGGATGCGGTACCGTGTGTCCACAGTCACATCAGCTATCACGGTATCAATGCAAAGAATGCAACCAAGGAGATTGAAGAAATCGGTAAGGTGGTCGACTTCACCCAGTTCTCGGATGCATTGACCGTTTCTGCACAAGATACACTTGTGAATGCGAATATGCGGATTGAGCTGAAGGGAGCCTCACTGCCAGTACCATTGGAAGAGTGTGCTGATCGCCTTCGATTCAAGATTTCCGTCCATGATGGCAGTCATGCAGAATTGCCCGTAGCAGAACTGCAGCAGGTCTCATCAGATTGTCTAGAGTCAAAGTGTGAGCAGCAGCTGACTGAAGAGACTGATCAGTTGACGGTGTCGGTGCAGTACGGAGAGCGACACGTGCAGGGCAGTCCCATGCAAGTTAGAGTAACCCACCCTGCACCGCCGGTGTTTGATCAGAGCCGCTGTCATGAACGTATCACCATCAGCAATGCAGGCCACACTGTAAGAAGAGTACAGACAAGAGGGTATATATCAGTGTGCACATCATCTATCCCTACTACCCATGGTACCAGCAGCATCAGGCTAAGAATAGACAAAACTTACGACGGTGACATGTATATCTGCGCTTGTTCCGCCACTGTACCACGACTACATGATGTACACAGTGTTAAGACGGAGATATTTGGCTGGAATGGTTATTCGGCGGGATACACCAAGGGCAATGGTGGTCAACTTGGACAGCGGTGGGTAGCAGGTGATATCATCTCTCTGGAGCTCGACCATGACGATCAAACGCTAACCGGTCATCACGAGCGCACTGGCAGCAGGGAGGTACTTCACGGCATCACCGGTTCATGCTGCTGGTATGTATGCATGGCCTATCCTGATGAACAAGTGACGATACTGTAGATCAAGTGACGATACTGTAGATCAAGTGACGATACTGTAGATCAAGTGACGATACTGTAGATCAAGTGACGATACTGTAGATCAAGTGACGATACTGTAGATCAAGTGACGATACTGTAGATCAAGTGACGATACTGTAGATCAAGTGACGATACTGTAGATCAAGTGACGATACTGTAGATCAAGTGACGATACTGTAGATCAAGTGACGATACTGTAGATCAAGTGACGATACTGTAGATCAAGTGACGATACTGTAGATCAAGTGACGATACTGTAGATCAAGTGACGATACTGTAGATCAAGTGACGATACTGTAGATCAAGTGACGATACTGTAGATCAAGTGACGATACTGTAGATCAAGTGACGATACTGTAGATCAAGTGACGATACTGTAGATCAAGTCACGATACTGTAGATCATAGGTGTTAACGCCGTCAAGAACCTACTACAGTACTGTCTGTCTGTGAAGAACTGAGGGGTCAGCCTCGTAGCCTAGACTGTTCTTATTTTCATGTACTAGCATCTATGCACAGTTGAGTCACCGTGTATACATTGGTATGCTGTGATTGGTGACATTCTCGGCTGTTTCTTCTCCGGTGCTCTGTTCTTCAGCACCCAGCACTACTGTTGTATTGCATCAGTAACCGTGATGTGAACTTAGAACATTCTGTTAATCAATTCGGCACAAGCCGGATTTGCATTGTTATCGCTGACCACATATATTTGTAGCTTGTCTTCTTCTGTCCCTGAATTTCAGCAATTTTCCCTGAAAACCAAACACATCTAGATCCGCGCATTTACATCTAGATTCATTCCAGTTCCTGCTTCGCTCGGCATGAGCTAGCACTGATCGTGATAGCCAGAATGTAACATATACTGATAGCCAGTGTGTTATAGTAAACATGATAACTGCACGGTGTGTAGCCTATTATTATGAATGCGCTGGTTTTGTACTGCTTGCACAAACTGTCGAAACCGGCGGAACCGATATGCTGAACTCATGGTTCAAAACTTATTGTGGCATTTGAATGTTGTTTCAAGTGTTTGTTTGTACTACTATACTGAACTATACTAGTAGCTTTGCCGCATCAGCTTTTCTCTAGTGTTCTCAATTCCTGTTTTCTTTCTCCGTCATGCACTGTTGCTGGATTTTCTTCTTTTAAACGTGGCCCGTGTGTGTTTTGCACGTCCAGTACAGAACAAGCTTGCACTATGTAAATAATATTATACAAATGTATATTGACCTTCTACCAGCCATTGCGCTTTTACTTCGTCAATACCTCCTCCTCTAGCCGAGTCTCGTGAACCGTGAAATATTTTAAATTTTTTTATCTCCTTTGCCAGCAGTCTTTTTTCTTCATTTTATGATTTTTTGCCTCTGTATGACCCACTTTGTTCTATCAAGGAACCACTTGCACTTGATCCTTGGGGATTGTGGCGACTGGTGAGGAAAGGTCATTACTGCCCACTGACGCCGGGCTGAGTGCTGACACACACTCACCCCTACACCGCTCTAGCACTAATATGCGTGTGCCTGGGGGATAAGTAGGCTATGCTGCGTAAAGCACAAATCTCTTTGTCCTCTACGGGTTTGAATGCATCGTCATGGGAGACCATTCAGGCAAGCCGTACTCGACATGACATGCAGTTTAAATTCTGTGTTCTTTAAGAACGACACGTTTTGACCTGAACCATGGCCTTGTAGATGCAACTGTGCTAATGATTTTGAAGTACGCGTTTTTTTCTGCACATCATGTTAATGTGCTGTTGATGCATGCGCGTGTTGCTGTTGTGCGGAGAGCCAGTCTTCGTCTTGGGTTTTTAATAGTGACTTGCATAGTCCCCGGTCCTCTGTCATTACGCTGCTTAAATGTTTGTATTCAGGCATCTAATAACTAGAGACACACGTGGTGAAAGCATTTACCCCGTAGCCTGGCTGGGTTTGATGAAATGTGTGCTCTGGTAATGTAGCACACCTGTACACATACTGTCCAGCAACTCTGGGCGAAATGACGCTAGCTGCAGAGTGTCAACCACCCCACAGTTCTAAGACGGTAAAGTGATGTGCTAATAGACCACAGAAATTGGAGACCCATTCCAGTTGAACATCACTAGCATAGAGTGTTGATATTGCAGTCCCTTCCGACAGCTGTTTCGCTCCAACAAACCTCATTAGTGGAGGTTTGAGTGTATGAATGACTCACGTATGCGGGGCCAAACTGGTTCAATTGCAAATTTTCTGCATAGAAGTGTGGCATGCCCTGGGGAACTGAGGCGACGGAATCTCCCATGGAGGTGATAATGCAAGCGCGTGTTCCTAATTTCTATTCTTCAAAAATGGGGGACCACCTCCTGAAAGATTTCTTGTCTTTTAAATACTGGTTTCCTGTGCTCCTGGCATGGTTGCTACAAAGACAGGTTTGATGTTGGAAGAAAATGTGCTAACCCTGAATGCAGCGTTTCGTGTTCAGTTGTCGCTGGCTGCTTTGCTGTGCTAACCCTTGATGCAAACCTGAGTGTGTGTCGCTGTCTGCTTTGCTGTGCTCATATCTCTGCAGTGGGTAGCTTCATCTGTACTGGTATGCATACATCGCGGCCCGCCATTCGTGAATTACAGGCGCTGGACGGCGCGGTGCAGCACATCCAGCACGTCATGGGCAGCCACGACATCCTGATCATGGGAGATCTGAATGTCGGCTGTGGCTCCATGCGCCCGGCCGAATGGTGAGCAATTGGCCGTTGTGTGTTTGAAAATACAATAGAGCCAGAGCACGTGAAAAGGGATGTTATCCCGATTTTGTGCATTTTTGAGTGATCAGCAGATTCGTGTAGCCAGAAGCTGTACGAATCACATGAAAAAACCGAATGAAAATCCATCCAGAGAATACATTGTAGCAAAGTTATAGCTGAAATGTACTCATGTCCACACACTTAGATGCAACCGCATGAAAATGTATGGTTCCTTTGTCTTCTTCGCATTTTTAACACGCGGCAGTTACTTCTTCGAGCAGAAGCAAGTGAAGGAGTAAAATGGTGAACGTCATGATTTTCTCTGCCACTCCACAAGTTCTCCGTTTGACAAAACCATGCACTTGGAGCGAGTTTTTGGTAGTCCAAGAGTGCTAAATACGCTAGGCCTACAATACACCTGGGTGTAAAGCCTTTTGCACGAAGATGGAAGGACTCATGAAGCTGCATTGCTTTTAAAAACTCACACAAAAGCGATCATCTGGCAGCACAATCGTGTCCATTTTCTAGGCTTGCATGACCTGCTGATACTGTAGTTTTCTGCCTGGGCACAGTTATTGCTGTGATTGGGCGCTTTCGATTACACGTTTACACAATTCTGGAACTGGCTTTTGTAATTCTCAAATGACCAAAATGTACGAATTCCGGCCATGTAAACGAACGACTGGATTTCACACTCATTTTATTCCGATGATGGCATATCACAAACAAAATTGGTCGTAAAAAGATATCATGTACACCCTCGCGCGCACGCGCGCGCGGCGACCCAGCTTCGCGTACCGGTCCATCCCGGCGAAGGCTCCATGTCGGCAACAATATTGAGCTTCGATAAAGCTGAACGCGTGTGCGAAAGGACCACCCAAAACTGATCTGGTCTAATAATTAGCTCCCAGCGGAAACTCAACAGCGGCAATTAGCTTTTCGGGAAGACAAAAGTAGCAACTACATGCAGTTGTAGCCCTGCTTTGGCGACCCACCGTTGAGGCTCTTCCTTGACTTGAGTCATGCATGACCAGACCGGTAACACACCGAGTGTGCAATTCTGGCGCCAGAATTAGAGAAATTCTGCCCTCTCTTCAGAATTGACGGAATTGGGTAAAATCAATTCTAACGACGGAATTTGTGTAATCGAGCTGTGCATCAACAATAACTAATTCTAGAATTGACCGATTTGTGATGTAAAATACTGTGATACATTGATACTGCATGCTGCATGACTGTATAGACGGTGCCTGTTCCAAATATTGGAGCTCGCGCTTTTTGCCGACTGACGTGAAGCTTCACTGCCAAGCAACTGCCGTCTTGTGCACCGTGTTTTCCGGAGTATAAGCCGCACCCAGATATTTGTCACAAAGTACAAATATCTACACTGTCTATCAGTGTTTATTTGACCATCGTAGTATAAGCAGTGCTGACTTTCTGGGTGGATTACTGGTGTTTTAAAGTGTGGCTTTTGCTCCGGAACATAAGGCATCAATGCAATGCTGTGTATCGGTGTGTACACTGCTGCAGGTCCACCATAAGCATTGGTACCAGCTCCCAGTACAGGTGGTATGTTAGCAGCACGGTGGATACTTCACTGTCCGGTGGATGCTCGGATGACAGGTGAGCAAGCTAGCGGTAATGAGCACCATGACCAGGGGACACTTGGTGTTCAATTAACTTACTTCATCACAGCCTCCAACTCATTGCCAGGAGGGATTTCAGCAAACTGAGCTTGCCACTTGAATCGATGGAAAATGCCGGGGCGGTAACATGTATTCAGCAAACCGACAGAGCATTAATAGTGGAACCTCTCTTACCCAGACACCTCCCATATCCACACCTCCCTTATCCCAATACCTGCCGTATCCAGCCACCTTCTCTACTTCACTCTTAAGCACTTCACCGCACACAATGTAACAGCCCAGCTCCTACCGTGTCACGATATATGTGGGTTATAAAGTAAGAGAAGGATAGATTTAAGAAAACCTGCTTCGACACGCTTCCTCTATTTGCTGCTACTGTTATAATTATTAGTGTGGCCATGTAGTCAGCACATTGAGTTGAGGGATCCTGCAACGGAGGTAGAGCTGGAATTCTCACTTCTCTGTGCTTTTTGAAATTGTTTTCTGTTTCACAGGTTCATAGCCTCCGCAGCATTGTCTCTTCGAATTCCCGAATCATCCGTGGAAGTGTACCACTATCAGGACTTCTACAAGCTCACCCTGGAAGAAGTGAGTGGACCCTGCTCAGTGCCTTTGCCTAGAATTTATTTTAGAAGAATTTGCCGACATCACAATGCCACTTCATGTGCTGGCAAATACTACAGTTTCCCTTAAACTGCCTGCTTCAACGGTACTAGCAAGTGTGCACCGTGCCTGGTGATGGCATCGGTTTCTGTGAAAATGCTGGATTAGAAAACAGGATCCACCTGGCTAAGTGATTCTGTATAAAAACACATACTCTGATGGAGTGGAAAGACATGCGTATGTTGCCTAGTATACCGGCAATCATGGGTAAATAATACAACATGCAAATGTAATATATACCCTGCTGTGTATTCGTAACAGTGTTTCATGCATCTTGATCTTTGTTACAGCTGCAATGGTGTGAGTACTGTGTGTCTGAATCGTGAGAACGCTGTGTGTTTGCTGCTTTGTCTCATACAGGCAGTGGTGTGAGTGATGTGTGTCTGATTACTGTGTTTGCTGCTTTGTCTCTTACAGGCAGTGAAGATCAGTACCCACTACCCTATACAACTGGAGATCATTCAGCCTGAGCCAAGTGAGGATGCATACGCTCTCGTCTAACACTGTATTGCTGCTCAGGGCTTTACTGTTGAAACCGGCAGTGTGTGGTGACGTATAGTTTGTAGCATTGAACACCCTACACAGCCACATGGGGATGGTTGCCGGTGCTAGAGGTCGCTTACACCAGGTTTTACTGTAGTTCCTCAGCATGCTGGTCCTTTGCTCTATGGAGATGTTGCACATCTATAACATGACCATACAGGGTGGCCATGTTGGTTCCAACTCCACTCGACCCCTGCATATATGGGTATGGGTCACATGATGTCAGCCATGTTTGTTCCAACTCTACTCGACCCCTGCATATATGGGTATGGGTCACATGATATCAGCCATGTTGGTTCCAACTCCACTCGCCCCCTGCATATTCTGGGTCACATGATGTCGGCCATGTTGGTTCCAACTCCACTCGACCCCTGCATATATGGGTATGGGTCACATGATGTCAGCCATGTTGGTTCCAACTCCACTCGACCCCTGCATATTCTGGGTCACATGATGTCAGCCATGTTGGTTCCACTGTCCACATGAGAGTTGTCACTGTGCTCTCTTCTTGAAATCAGTCATGGTTGGCTAGGTAACCGAAGGAGCACAGATACATGTCCTGCACTGCTCGAAAAGTATTTCACTGTTTCAAAATGTTCCGGCAAGTATTTTGGTGGCTTTGAGTCCTGTTCTCACTGCTACCCTATGGGACCTCATTTCGCCATGCTGTATTAATTCATGTACATGTACCAAAACACAACACAGTACATGCTAGTACACAATCCATACATCCAGTAAAACTACTGTAGCAATCTTGTTTGGACTGTCACTACTGTGTTTGCTTGGGCATGGTATAAACTTCATGCATGTGTAATCCACTATAAACATGATATTCTTCTTTTGCTAAGACACATTCTAACAGGGGACGTTATGTTGAATTTTCCATTTTTCCATTTTTCAGGTGAAAGCAGACCAGTTCAGGTAAGATGGCATCGATATCATGCATTGGATGTAGCCTGCAGTAACAGTGTTGTGTGTGGGTCAAGTACGATGACATCACCATCACCATACGTTGTATCTGCCCTGCAGTGTTCTAGTGCAGGGCATTGAGCATGATGACATCATCAACATGATACATTGCATGTGACCTGTAGACCTGGACTCTGTGGACCGTATAGTACTAGTATAGTACATAACGTTTTGTGTGTTGGCATTATTCTGCATCTGGGTATGTACACAGAGTACTCAACTGCTGTTGATGATGTAGACTCATTGTGCATGACAGGAGTTTGATCATTTCCCTTTTCAAGTTTAGACTGATCACTGCCGTATTCCGCAGCTAGAGTGCTCCTCTGAGTTTGAGTCTGCTCTCCCCTCACTGTGCTGGTGTGACTGTGTTGGTGTGACTGTGCTGGTGTGACTGTGTTGGTGTGACTGTGTTGGTGTGACTGTGCTGTGCCATAGAGTACGATCAGTGAAGCTGCTCTGCTCAAGCTGTACGGCTACGGAGGTAAGTGAAGTGTGGTGTACAGCGATATAGTACGGTACTAACAACATGTACACAACACAACACAAACACAACATAACACACACACACACAAACACACACACACAAACACACACACACACAACACAACACACCGTCGACCTTTGACGCCCATCGCCGGAGGCGATCATAGTGATGCCACGGCAGAAGCTATAGCAACTTGTGCTGGGATTGCACCATTCAACACAGGGGCGTCGCACCCGGTACGGTCACTACGGTATTGACCGTACCACTGCCGGTATTCGCCCCAAGTACCCCGTGAATCAATAAAATGCACTGATTTGGGCTCGAAATTGCCAAATTTTTCGGCTCAGCTATCCCTCTCCCACGGGTATATTGCACTTTAGTTGGCTGACCGTACCACACTAACATACCTTCTGACGCCCCTGCAACAGCTTGCAAGGCTGATGAATTGACCGCCACTATTCACAACACACACACACACACACACACACACACACACACACACACACACACACACACACACACACACACACACACACACACACACACACACACATACACACACATACACACACACACACATACACATACGTGTACGTGCTGACTGCCATAAATCGGTCACGTGGGTCTCCGGTGGGGGATCTGGGAAAGGTGACTCAATTGGCTTTGAAACACCCAACAGCTCTCCCCCCCCACCCCACACACACACACACTGACTCACGCACTCAGGCGTGTATGCGTAACTCTTCAATGAAATGTAATTCGTGTGTTTTAGCTTGTCAGTTGTCATGCAATCACTGCCAGTTCCACCTGCACTTTGAGCACTTCTCCCATTGATTTCTAACACAGGAGGAGGTTGAATTCTGCTTTCAAAACGTGTTCTGTTTAGCTGCACTCGGCTGTGGGTACATCACGACCACCCTGCAAGGTGCTCTGACGGATGGAAGCGGCCTCGATGAGAACTACCGAAACGACCTCGACTGCGTCTGGGTGATACTCGCACCGCTCAATCACAGCATTTCTCTGAGAGTAACCTACACGGTATGTTGTGCTTTGCAAGTAGATTACCCCCCCCCCCTTCCACAACCCCAACCCAACCCATTGTGTTGCACCTGCTTACCTTTTCTGCTCCTTCATTCCATGACTCTCCTCATGGTGGTGTTTTGTGGTGTACTGGCAGTGCACTGATGATGTCATGGTGATGTTCTGATGATGTCATGGTGGTGTTCTGATGATGTCATGGTGGTGTACTGATGATGTCATGGACTCATTGTGGTGTACTGATGATGTCATGGTACATGTAGTGTACTGATTATGTCATGGTGGTGTAGCTTTTTTTGTCACGGTGACGTCATTGTGATGGCATTCGGGTACACACATCGCCTAAAGGTACAATTGGAAGTAATCTTGGAAAGTCTTTTTAGTACTTGTAGAAGCTTCAGTTTTTTTTCAGAATCAACGTGTCGAAAAAAATCAAAGCCAGGGAAGGATTGGTAAGCATTCATGCGGCCATTGTAACACTTTAATCATCACTGACATCAGCCTTCGTTGCATGCATGCAAGGGCAGAGGCAGAGGCAGGTGCAGGTGCAGCCCAATGGCAAGTTCTGCATCGTTCCGCACTTTTCGTCGCATTTTTTGTTACTTTCTGCCGCAATTTCTTGCGCAGGTTTTCGAGAGTTTTTCCGCAAATTCTCGCAGGGACAGTCTAGGGCTGCGCAACGCCCGGCGCATACTTGATTGACTCGACTGGATTTCATTGAGCAGCACAGTGGATATGATGATACTGCACTCTACATGTAGCTACCAGTTTTGACTGAATCACAACAGCCAAGTCTTTTACTCTACTACCCCTTGCACTTTGCCTTGCAGTTTGAAAACTTCTACGAAGATCGGCTTGATATCCGCGATGGCTACACGCTCACATTGCGGCTCATTGCACGGCTGCAGAACAAGGGAAATCGAACAGTCAACAACACTGGCAACTCACTGCTGCTCAACTTCCGCACGGACAGCATCGGAACGGGACCCGGATTTGTCGCCACATTCACAAGTGAGGATGAAGCCGATTTGCTGTTAATTTGCTCTGTGATACGGAATTTTGGCCTCATTATCCACTCCCCTCCCCCCCCCCCCCCCCCACTGCCACACACACATCGAACCTGACCTCCTCCCCCCTCCCCTCCCCCCCCCTCTCTCCTTTACCACTCTCTCGCTTGTCTTCTGCATTCGCTCCCAATAGTTCACTTTAGAATCGCTGTTCAACGTTTGAAATTTACGGTGTGCAAAGCGGGAGTTACTAACACCAAGATCCCAGGTCGATGGTGTTATTGGTTGTCTTACCAGCATGGGTTTCATTGCGTCACCCCTACCCTCCCTATTGGTCTGCTGTTGTTGTTTACCCTTTGCCCACTAGTAATGTGTGTGTCTTCCTCCACGGGTACCGAAATGCGATTCACTTACCCCTTGAGTATGAGTGTGGGGCCACTGAATGGGTATCGTGGATTGCAAAGTGTAATGGAATTCTCCGTCTGTTCTTCTGCTTGCGTCCAGCTTCACCACAGTGTGACTATACGCTAACGGACAGAGAAGGCAACTTCTCCAGCCCGCTTAACAGCTATACTGGGCACTACCCTAATAACTTGCACTGCACGTGGAACATACGCGTACCGCTCGGCATGGTCATCAAGCTCAGCTTCTCGAATTTCCAGGTTCGTGATCAAAGTTGCTATGCACACATAAAGAGAATCCATGGTGCTGTGAATGCTCAGGGTAGGAGCCGGCAGGATGTTTGTCGGGGCCATCGTTAGTCATGTACCATAGAATGCATTGTTAGGTTAGGTGGGATCTTTAGTAGATGTTTGGTTAAAGTCTTCAAGATAAACTGGCACTAGCCAGTCAAGTGACAGCAGCTATTCAGCTAGACCGGTGTGGACTGGTTCCATGACGCTTGTCTAATTATCATATTTTGGATGGTACTTAGTCGGCGGTGGGGGGGGGGGGGGGGAGGGGGGGGGAGGGGGGGGGGGGAGGGGGAGGGGACACCTTCAGTTGTTGGCAGTAGAATGTTTCCATGTCACACACTAAATGTGTAACGTATTATGTATTGCTGGAATGACAACTACACCATGGCTTAGTGAAAGCACTTCAGCAGCCTGTAGCAAAGGTCCGGGTTAGAGCTCTGGTGGTGACAAAGGTCCGGGTTAGCGTTCTGGTGGTGGCACTCATTTTTTCTTTAAAGTATTACCATACAGCGAAACCTGTCAAAGGCGACTACTCAAGTGACCGTCAATATAGGATCCCTGTCAGGGGCGGATCCAGGGGGGGGGGGGGGTTCGGGGGGTTCGAACGAACCCCCTAAAATTTTTCCGACCATGGTGCAGGTTTTTATTTATTTATTTTTTTATTTTTACAAAAGCCAGGCATGCGAATTGCTCCTAGGCCTAGGATCCTGCCGTAGCGCGTATATAGCCCGAGCTGAATCATGCAGATGTTACATTGATACATTGATATGATCCTCAGACGAACACCTTGCCAATAGGCCTTTCCCAAATCGGCCATTTATTTTGGCCTATTTGGCTTTTCGATCGGCTGAAAAAATCGCCAGAATCGGCTGAAAATTTCTGTAAAAGGTGGAAATTCGGCTCTAAGGTCGCAGCCACCATTCGCAGATAATGATTACAGAAATTGTATTTGCATGCTATTGAGGCACTAAAACATCAATTTTCGGCAAATTCAGTGCGAAAATTGCATATTTGGCTAAAAGATCGGTGATTTCTTCAAAACCACTATTTTCGGCCAATGTTTCGGCCGGCCGATTTGGGAAATGCCCACGGGCCGTGACGCAGGCGCACACGAGCGGTCATGGCCAGTTGCCCACGACCCTGCAAAACATGTACATGTACTACTTTCACTTTAGCTCAGCAGAGAAGTCTAGTGCACTTCCAGCTACCCCACGAGAAGCTCTTGTGCATTGCGATGCCGATGTTTTCCCGAACATCCACGTCCTCCTCCGGATTGCTTCAACACTACCCGTCACCTCTGCGGAGAATGAGCGCAGCAACACTGCCTTGAAATGGCTGAAGCACTACCTGCGCTCGAGCGCTCGACAATGGGATCAGAGCGCCTATCCTCTAGCCCTTTCCCAAAGGTGCCCGCCCTATTTTCGCCCTTTTTGGAAAAGCCCGTTTCTTTCGCCCTTTATTGCGTTTTTTTTTGGTGAATATCGCCCTTTTTGAGCTGAAAAAGTGCTAAAATCTGTTTGCTCATACATGTACATGCCTATCCGTCGGCAGGACAGCAACCACCCTGTTAACCACTGTATTCCAGCAAATTTCATTTCCATCAGTCGTCGTCATCCTCTCCATTCTACAATACTTTTGATTTTCCGCTTTATAGGCACTGTACATTTGCAGGCGATCAGTCGGCAGCCAATTTCTTAGCCACTGTAGTTCAGCAACTGTCATTTTCAAAAAGTATTTTTTTAGGCCAAGTAAAAAAAATCCTAGTTTATCGTCCCCGCCCGCCCCATTTTTCGAGGCCGCCCGGAATTTATTTTTATTTTTTAAATCTAGAATTTTGCCAAAAAGCTTGATTTTTTACGTCGGCTAAGGCTTGAAGGCTTGTCCCTCAGGGGAAGAAGTGAATTGTATTCCAACATGTTCCCTTTATGACTGACTATTGGTTACTGTCCTGACTGGTTCTTTCCCTTCTGCAGCTTTCTATCATTTATCTGGTGGTCTGTGTGAACCAAACAGTATTGGGGTTTGTGTCTTATGAGTGGAGTGACAATCTGTCGATCCAAAGATTTTGCATGTAATTGTTTATGTACATATAACTGTTATAGCATTGTGTATTCCATACACTACCACTATTCTGTTGCAGATTGTTGCACATGATGTGTCATTGTTTACCAAGAACTATACTAGTCTGTAGCACATCAAAAAATAAAAAATAAAAATAAAATCCGCCCTCCCTCCCCGATTTTTGTGAAAAAAGGACGATAAACTGGGATTTTATTTTACTTGGCCTTATGTCATCATTTTAACACACTTTGCAATTTGGTAAGGGTGGAAGAAAACTGAACCCCCTTGGAAAAATCCTGGATCCGCCCCTGCCTGTGTACCGGTGGTCTTGTCCAGTGCCAATTGGCATGGAAATAACATCCTGATTGTTGTGGGACTCTGGGACAGGCGATCTCCTTATCAGAGTGGTTGCCTAGACAGTTTTAACTGTGATTGAATGCTGCAACACAGAGTGTGTCACTCCATATCAACCGGCTCTCTAGCTTGTTGGCGAGTGGAAGTGGAACTTCACCATGCCTTGTCAGTCCAGCCATAGAGGTGTGGCAAGGTAGCCTGTAACACGCTGAGCATTAGTGTCGTCTAGTACACTTCTAAGTGTAACTTATTGAGTTAGAAGTATATGCCATTCTTATCGAGTTCGTAGCAAAACTGTAGGGAATGCAAGCAGAAGTTGATGCAGAAATGTTGCTCTGATTACATCCGGGCTGGGCATTGATCAGCTATTCTGCCCAATTGTGCCTTCTTCCACAGGTTGAACCTGATGGTCAGTGTGCTCCGGACTACGTCAATGTCATCGACGGCCAGGTGACCAAGGACATATTCAGCCTGGCGCCAGCGAAGGTCTCTGCCCTGCAGCTCTCTCAGAACACGCTGCCAAATACCATTCACCAGCGCCGCCAATCAGATTGGTATAGGGTTGTCGAGTGATTACACTAACACCAACAAGGGATTCACCGTCTTCTATAAAGCTGTTGGTAAGAACAATGACTCTATACTCATGCGTGTACATGTATAGTGAAACCTGTGATATACAGCCACTGTGATAGGAGACCACCTGTCTGAAGAGACCACCTGTTTACAGAGACCATGCTTCTCAGACCCTATACCTAGCTTCAGCATGCATTGCTGACCTGTGTGAAAAGACCACCTGTCATTAGAGACCAGTCACCTCTGGTCCCTGCGACAGACCATGCAAAGATTTACAGTGTGACCTGTGCTGAAAGACCACCTGTTTTTATATTTTGTGCGAACGGATTTACGTGACCATACAGGACTCTAGAAGTGGACTATTGGCAGCATACCAGTATTTGACTCGGGTCAACTGTCTTCATGTAAACGCTCACCTATTTTGTCTATCGTACAGACTTTCAGCCCGAGCTGAACTCAACCCGGGTTGAAATTTCTCATGTAAACACAGCCTGAGTGACTCCAAACTTATCCTTACAACAGATCTGCAGCACACTTGGAAGCTGAAGGGTTTTTCAACCGTACTGGGACCCACGTTAATGGAGAACTTGGTTTGAGAGTAGCAAAGAGATTTCTCACCCGGCCACTCCATGTGAGGGGCTGAGGTAAAAAAAAAAAGGTGGGAAATGGCCGAGAGAACTATCTTCTCACCACGCTACTCTACTGGTAGCACTCCATAGTGCAGTGTATCAAGCATGACATTGTAGACCAACACTGTTAGTACAGTGTGATCTGTAAAACTTTGTACAAAGTAACATTCCCCTTCCAAAGTGCTGCTACAGCTCATGTAGTATTTCCTGTTCAGTATCCAACACTGTACTCACATCCACTCTGGCCTGGTCTGCTGTTGTTATTCCCTGCAGGGCATAGACTTTGATACCTCGCGTCACATGGCTGGCTCGACACGCCTCCACTGTCTCATCCACTACGCCGGCTCGGTGGGTTTGGACGTACAGGAGCATCTTGTCGAGTAGTATCCGCAGGCTGCTCAAGATACACTTCAAGGATGCACGCAACGTCAATGACTTGGATGTCCTGATGGAGGCAACTGCAGAGCTCCGGAGGTATAGTGATTCACTGTTTGTTTGATCATGGGGTTATCTAACATGTGTAGGCAGAGTAGGCCAGACTCCGGAAAAGGCCCTTGATAGGGAAAAAAAGAATGTACGCAGTAAAAAATAGAACCACCGATGGTAAAGAGTCGCAAAGGTGAACCCGCTTGCTAACAGATTGAGAATGAATGACGAGGGGATCCAAGCTATGTAGTGGCGAGGCTTGTAGATATTACTTACCGCAAAAAAAAAAGAATTATGAAAGATCAGTTGGGGAAGTGAACTGCCTGAAAAGAGAAAAAATCGCCAGACCCTCCAGGACTCGAACCTGATCCTTTGTATTTGAAGTTCTCCCAATCCGTTCAAAAATTAATCACTTTTCGTTCACTTCTGGGTAGGGTTCAGAAACTGACCGTGGTTGGTCCCCTGGTGGAGGGAGAAAGACCCAAGAGAGAGAGAGAGAGATGGAGAGAGAGAGTAAGTTACATTTATATAGACAGGTAAGTCTAACAAATGAGAGAGAGAGAGAGAGAGATAGATAGATAGATAGAGAGAGAGAGAGAGAGAGAGAGAGAGAGAGAGAGAAAGAGAGAGAGAGAGAGAGAGAGGGAGTGAGGGAGGGAGGGAGGGAGGGAGGGGGAGAGGGAGGGAGGGAGGGAGGGAAGGAGCGAGAGAGTGAGGGAGGGAGGGAAGGAGCGAGAGAGGGAGTGAGGGAGGGAGGGAGCGAGGGAGAGAGAGAGAGAGAGAGAGAGAGAGAGAGAGAGAGAGAGAGAGAGAGAGAAAGAGAGAGAGAGAGAGAGAGAGAGAGAGAGTCACCTTTCAGTAAAGGCAGCTTCATATCAGCATTGCAGAGCCACTTTGGCAGTAGGCATAGTTGGTCGTAAGTGGTCCATGAGACAAGGGAAAGTCCTGGGCTTGCTGTATAGAATTATCCTCCACTACTCTACCCTCTAAATGCATTAAGAGCTGTTGGAAGGCTGCTGGTGGGTGCATTCCAGACGTGATAGAGCTTAATTAACATCAGTTTGTCACAGTGATGATGTCAGTACGGCCTCAGTGTGTATTGTGCTAACTGTTGTTCCTTCTGAATACACAGTATCCTGCTTATACAGTGTTGTTGGACAAACTGCGGATAACATGTAACATTTTGGTTATTTCTTATACTTTCTAGGGATTTGTACTTTTAATGTTGTTTTGTACTGGCAGGTTGGATTGGAGCTCGAAGCCAGCAAGGCTGCACATGGAGGATTCCAAGCTCAAGGAGCAAGTCTGGACAGAGCATTAGAGGGCGCGCAAAGAGTTCGGCGTCAAGGGACTGCCGTTTTTCGTCATGTCGCTAAAGGCCGTAAAGGGTCACTCTGACGAGGGGACGCCAAGGTCCTTCAAGCACGATGAACCAACCGCATGTCGTGTGGCCTGCCTCGATGAGCTGCTCGCCAAACACCAGGGCGATGGTGTCGAGTAAAACAGTCACTGCATGCTGTATACCAGCAATGGCCATGAAAACAAACCGGCCCATGGCAGTAGAACTCTATGATGCTATGTGTTATGTGGAGCAAGAACTTGCCTGATCTGAACAGTGGGTGTGGCTATTGCATATGTTTTCCTGCCAGCACAGGTATGGATTCGCACATTACAGTGAACGCATGCAAAGCCCATGTCACGTCTTGCACACCACTGTTGAGTGTTGTGCCATGGCTTTGCCTCCATTTTGTGTGGCAATGTGTATACACAAATAACCTTGTAGGTTCGGGGATGTCTTCATAACCCGGAATTCACAATTGAACAGTGCACACACACACAAGTACACAAGTTCACACAATTTTAGCCGAAAATTTCGCGAATAACAACACAATCTCCAGATCTAGTACCTCGTAACCATTTCTTAAAATTAACCTTTTTCTCATGGAGGATCCAGGGTCGGTATTGGCAAGGTTAACTGTACAGTAAAACCTGGTGCAAACGACCTCTCGTTTTAGCGACCACCTGCTCTTAACGACCGTTTTTCCAAGCACGGACAGTTCTACACAGACACTGTGGGATGCCTGGATGTCTGTACCTGTCGTCATTTCCAGGACCACTGGCACTGATCATGAGCAGACTACAAAATAGTAGGGCTCAAACGGTCACGGTTTTACCCCCAACGGTTAACTGCTAAGCTAACGGTCGGTTTAACGGTTATAACCTATAAGCCACGGCAATCCTGCGGACTCTTTTTTAACCGTACATTTGACTATACTCATTCAAAAAATGTACCCTATTCAGTACAACGCACACATGTACATTCTCTTGCATGCTCACTTGTGAAATTAATGTAATGCTATTAGATCTACCGGTCCGTAGTCGCACATGCACAGCTCACAGGCAGTGTGTGATCATGATTCATCATTAGGCCTAAACAAAAAATAGGCTTGTTTCCGGTCGGCAACCCCCCAAAAAACAGACTCGGTCGGCCGGAAAAAATTATTTTTGGGCAATTTTTTTGGTTCTTACAATCAATGATCCTGGGGCATATTACGCAGTAAAAGCAATGCAGATATACATACTTGATGTATAATTATGTACATGGTATAGAGGAATGTCAGTTTAACATCACAACAGAGACCTGCATGTCTCATAATTCTAGCGGCTATCCAGTATTCACAACTAATACTTGACACAAGTCAATGACAGACTGTGTGCTCCTGACAGCGTGAGTCCACCACCAGACGTACAAGACCGCGGATGCATGCAAGCTACAACTGTACAACAAGCGTGCTTGCACGGCGAAATACCTACAGTCATTATACAGCGCTAGCTTTACAGGCGCACACATGACATGTACTACATTACGCGGACCAAAAAAAAGTTTCAGAATTTGGGAAAAAATGACCCGGTCGGACGACCGGAAACAAGGCTATTTTTTGTTTAGGCCTTATTATTATAATGGATCACCAAGCCCAGTGACCACTGACCAGAGCTAGAGGGCCGCAGAGGCAGGCAGGATGTCCTCCTGCTATGCCTGAGTCCTGGGATTACGGATGGTTTTTTTAGGAAATCACAGTCGTTCAGAATGATAATGATTGCTATGCGCTAGTAGTAGTACAGTGCTAAGAAATGACTGAATAATTATGTAGTTCGTATCTCCGGACTGAATTATTTTAAAATTTTGTTCCTTTTCAAGGCTCTTGAAGTTAGTTGAGTTTCTTGTTCACCTACGTGAATGGTTTGGCATGGATCGCGTTACAAGATCTCTGTGACTCTGTACTGTAGTGGACCGTAGGTTCCTACCAGTCTGCATTTTGCTCATCGCATGTGGGGATCGACAGACTGTTTCTGCGCGTCTGGACGCTTGTCGCTGTACTGGGCGTGCACGCGTCCACCTGGGTCCCTGAGCAAGTGCCGGAGCCGACGCACACGCCGGCCCGGCTGGTCCTGGCTTGAGCGAGTGGCAATCATTCAGCCTTTCCTCAGTCCTCAGGGCAGGCCACTTATGACTTACTTCATGACCCAGAACTAACCATTGCTGCTGTGGGTGGAAAAATAATCCGTGATTGATTGTCGGACCTTGGACATAGCGTCCGTCTCGTGACAATGGAGCGCAACCTGCGTTCTTCTAGCGCGCTCGCGGGCATCCTGCTGCTGCTTTGCCGCTATTGTGGACTGGCGGCCGGGTCGTTCTCGCTAGGGATAGGCTCATTCAACGTGAAGAACTTCGACTCGGCCAAGTACGACATGTACAGCGATATCTATAGCGGGGTGAGTAGGAGCAGGGTGTCTGCCGTTACATGCACAGTCATACATGCACACGTTGATCCTAGACATGAAGCTCAAGACACTTAGTCATGAAATCAGTTACTTCCTAGTACAAGAACGATACACGCATCTTCACTGACTTGAGTGTGTGGAGGCTCCACTGCAGCTGGTTCATAATACGATACTGCTGAATAAAATGCGATGGAATGACTGAAGTATGCGCAGGGCCTCGAGCAGCCCTAGACCTGCGAACACTGGGCTGAAAAATGGTGCAAGGCGCACACTTGACTCCCGTGATGGTATTTCATTTAGCAGCACTGTACAAGACATGTATAGGTATGTTGGCAACCAGGGACTCGCTAATGTATAGTGTGTGTGTGCTGCTGATTGAAATCTGATGGCATGAGTAAAGTACACACCTGGAGCTGTGTAACTCTAGACCTGAGAACACTGGCATGTTCTCTAGTACATTACTCAACAGGGGCGTAGGAGGGGTTTTGGAAGTGGTACGACCGAAGTTCGGCTCGGGCGAAAGGCGTCACGGTTGGAGGGGGGTTGGGGGGACCTCCTCCGGGAAAATTTTGTAAAAAAGACACAAAATCCTGCGTTCTGGGCCTGGGCATGGGACTGTTCAGTGTGCAGTCGAGTCGAGTACGGAGTAGTCAGTATACGACTGCAGCGCAGATGCATGGCAGATCTACTAGTAGTAGTTCGAGTCTAGAAAAAGGTCAAAGTCTGATGCGCATATGCATCGATAAATCCTGATTTTTTTTATTACGGTTTTGCACGTTCCGGACGGACCACACTTTTCGAAAAGTGGTACGGCCGTGGTCGTACCAGTCGTAGCGGGTGCTACGCCCCTGCTCAAAGCTGACTCATTCCATCGGACTTCATTAAACAGCATTGTACTTGGGTCAGGTCATAAATTCATAATGCAATGCATACAGATAATGAGCCACCGTCCGCCCACATCGTTTGTAAAATTTTCATCATTATACATTTTAGAGTCAAACACAACCCTTCTGATGAATTCTGTCGTGCACTTGTTTGTGATACGTACCACCTCACTGATGCTGCTAGGCACTTCATCTGCCATCCAGGTATGGTGCTCGGCACGGTGTTGGCCTGGCAAATGCCAAACTTCCTGCGCTTGTTGTTTTTCTCAAGAGAATTGTGCATCCAGTTGTAAAGGGGACATTTCAAGGAAACCCCAAGGATAAACACATGATGGCAAAGGGTATTTTGACTATTTTCTACCGCCATGTCTCAGAATGTTCGGGTTGTGCTTGCAGCAGCAGCGGCTCCTTGTATGGAAATGAATGAAGGCCGAGAAGTAAAACAACTCAAGCGTTGTAGTCCTCTGGCAACTGAGCGCAGTGATTACTTCTCAAATCAGTACATGGTGATAATGTGACGAAGCACAGCGATATCAAATTAGATTGACTTATGTGAGAAGTAAAGGTTCAAAAGGCTTCATCAGATTTACAACTGGCTTCGTCTCTTTGTGTGCTACTGTGTTTCCCTCCGGCTAAGTCTTCTATTTCGCACAAAGCGTTATTTTGTTCTTCACAAAGCAAGGACAATGATGAAAACTCATAACAAAGTGCAACCTTGGCCAACAGGACTTGTCGGAGGAATCTGAGTTCCCCTTTACCCGAACTCACTCCCAAAGCCAACGCCTAAGTAGCTAGTCCCGCGGGCCTGCCGAGGCCTGGACATAATTGTTGATGGGTTGCTGGTCCTTGAGACGTGTGAGGCCCTGATGCAGTTCCAGAAGACTAGGCGTACATAAGAAATTTGGATGTATCACGTCTTGGGTGTTGGGTGTGCTGAGCACAGCTTCCAATTTGTAATGGTTTACTTGTATGTTATAGAATCATTTCAGATAGGAGAAGATGAGTGTACTCTAGGGTCAAGACGACAATAAACCAAACCTCACAGAAAATACTATTTGTTGATCGAGCGGTCTGACTTCCAATGCTAGCAACGTTATGCTTTCAAGCCCACCACCGAGCACTGTCATTCATAACCTAGACTTCCCTCTGCTACATGTATATGCACACTTTCCTTTCAACCACTCTCTCTCTCTCTCTATCTATCTCTCTCTATCTCTCTCTCTCTCTCTCTCTCTCTCTCTCTCTCTCTCTCTCTCTCTCTCTCTCTCTCTCTCTCTCTCTCTCTTTGTTGCATCAGATTGTTGGCTGGCAGAAAATCTTCCTCTTACAGGAGGTCCTAAACACGAGTATACCAGATGCCCTGGTCAACAGCCTCAATGCGTAAGCTCCTTTGTAGCTATATTAGTAATGCCTGGTGCCGAAGGGGGGTTCAGAGGCGTAGCCTTAACCAGTCGTATTCTTTCCTATAGAATTGTCTACTGGTATGTAGCTGAGCCACCATGTACATATGAGTATCCTGTACCCATGATACTTCTATTATCATCTTTCTTTGTTAAAAAACGTGTCTGTGTGTGCATGTGTGTTGATGTGTATGCGTGCATGTTTTGTTTGTGGTTATGTGTGTGTGTGTGTGTGGGTGTGTGTGTGTGTATGTATGCGTGCATGCGGATGTGCGTGTGTGTGCGGGTGCGTGCGTTTGCGTATGTGATATGCATGCTAATGAACTCCTTATTAAAGGGGAAGTTAAGGCAAAAATTATAATTTCACCAGTTGAAGTCTTCGGGGTGCTGAGTCGAATGGTCTTGGTCCGAGAAAGCTGAGACGCTCCATTCCTACTTGAATCCCAATCGAACTCGCGCACTTCCACCGAAACTGGGTGACTACGCCCTACTAGATGGGGATTTGTATGCAAAATGTCACTAAAAGCGCCATTTCGTTCTTATAAAAGCACGGATGACCGCGATTGGCCCATATGTTGTAGTCTTTTGGACGCTGAGTCGACTGGTTTTGGTCCGAAAAGGCTGCGATGCAGCGTTCCTCGTTTATTCCCAATCGAACATGGTTGAACAAGTGGTCACGTGCTCCTGGGTGCCCAAATCACCTGGTCACCACGCCAGCAGGCGACAACTTTCACACCAAGGTTCAACTCGAGTGACAGGAGTGCACCCAAAAAAGGTCAAGCAGGCTAGTAAGTTGTACCCTGCAGGCACGGTGACCAGGTGACTGGCGTACGCAGGAGCACGTGACCGCTTGTTCAACCATGTTCGATTGGGAATAAAGGAGGAACGCTGCATCGCAGCCTTTTCGG